GAATGGTGAGAATGTTTTTTTTCAACAATATCACAGGATCGCAAGTCATAAAAATATTTATATACAGAGTTCTGTATTAAAAACAAAGTATTTTAATGCAGGAAAATGAAGTAAAGTAAATAAAAGTAATGTTTGACAGTGAAGTAATTAAAAGTCATAGAACTATCACAATATAAGAAGACACAGCAAATGTAATTGTACTGTCATTAGTAGAATTAACTAGCGTAGTGACTGAGTTCTAAGCTCCGTCTGTTAGAACCCTCCCCCTCTCACCTAACGCTCGGAAGACGTCAGAACCTGCAAATTTCCCATCGAAGTAAACGGCGTTGTTCAGCGAGTCAAACACTCGACACATCCGGACGAAGACGACCTCCAGAGATCCTGACAGAGAGACAACCTGATGATTAATAATGAGTCAACTCTGATGGTGATTTAATGACTCGCGGCTTAGAGCTGGATCCATCAGTCATCACTAATTAAAGCAGATTTGACGTTAGAGATTTTGTCTTTTGAAATTTGAGATGTCGGGAAAAACATTGATGATCACAAAGAAAATGATCGGAATGAAAAAGTTTGTAAAAAGATCCACAGATCGGCTGCTTTCTACTTCTGTCACCAAGATACATGAACTATTCTCTGGAAAATCTGTGAACATTTTTAAAAATCCCACAAAACCTGAGGGAAGGATGAAGAACCGCACCAACATTAAAGCTAGCCGGTGCAGCGGGAGGGTTCTACGTGGTCGGTTCACCCTAAATATGAAGAAACAACGGATGTAGCTGGAGCAGAACTCCGCTGTTCTTCACACTTCCTGTACGGAGCTAACATCGTGCCAGAACTTCATGAACAAACGATTCCCGACTCACGACTGCTCAACATTGTGTTGCTTCAAATCGACTTTTCAGGCACGCTGCAACACTTCTCCTTAGGAAATGACAGATCAAGTATTTTGTCAGCTGACATGAACCATAAAGATCTGAATACAGGCGCACTCCAAATTTAGGGGCGGATGGTTTTATCGTGGACGACGGCTACTTGACGCTCATCCTGTGTTTGTAGCAGGAAGCCGTCAACCTCTCGCCCACAGTGTCTCCTAGTGGACGAGAGGTTGAATTACTCATCCTCAGTTGTTGAGTCGTACGAATATGTGTTTTTATACTTGTTGTTCTGTCTTAATGGGATATATTTCTTGTACTTGCAGTAAATACATTTGACGCTGAACGCTATTTGCTTTCTGAAGGATAATTAAGGAGGAATATCTTTGTTTTTCTCAGGTGTGTGTTTTGTGTGAGCGCTAGGTGGGAATTAGTAAAACATGTCGGCCGATCAGAAAAATGAATATTGCAGTAAATGTCTCTTCAGTGTGTCTGATGCTTCTCTCAGTGACTTGTGTTAAAGTTCCTCTCACCAGCTTTCAACAGCACGATCTGATCGTTCTGGCAGAGATCCATGAAGCCGTCGATGCGCTTGGCGAACTCCACCACGTACTGGATCGCCTCGGTGATCTTTAGGGCGCAGAGCTGCCACATCACCTCCCTCGGCTGCACACAACAGAGGGAGGAAATCAAAACGACGCACAGACAATGCGGTTAAAACACGTACACACCGCACGGCCACGCCACCTCTTCAGTGACGAGGAGAGCTGGCTGGTCAGCAAGCAAACCTCAACAGAAGGAAAGAGGTCGCAGAAATAAGATTTGACCTTCGTTACTCGAGACGGTGACTCTTGGAGAGAGTGAAGGACACAGGAAGTAAAACACCGGGTTCACAGACTGACTCCGCCTCCTCTGTCTTCGCATTATTTGATTGGCTGTTGCTTGAAAAGTTGAGCTTTACTCAACTTCCACTGAGTGAAGCAAAGTGAAGCGTCGGGTCCACAACGCACGACCTCACCACATTCAAAGTGAACGAGCAGCGTTTCCACTGAAGCCTCCGACTGGAACACGCGAGTTCTGCGTTAAAGTTAGCGACGGCTACGTGACAAAGTACAATAACAACGACATGAATGCTCAGATGTGACCATGTGACTTCACAGACAGAAGCAGCGACCTCACCTTGCTCTGGTAACGCTGCACCTCGTCCTGCAGGAAGTTCTGCCAGCTCATCTGCTGCAGCTCCTCCCTCAGGTACTGACACGTCTCCAGGTGAGATCTGGAGACGATCTGAACCAGATGATCTGAAACAACGGACGGCACCACAGCGCACTTTGATCACATCAGCCTGATTTCAACTAACTGTAGTTTTTATTATCATCATTTTTAAATTTCTGTCACACGTTTAGTGTTGTTGTTGTTTTATTTATTCTTTCGTTTTATTTTGTTTTTGTGTTCATCATTTAATTATTGACTTGTGTTTTTTGTTGGTGAAGCACTTTGTAACCGTTTTGAGAATAATAATTAATAAGGAGACAATTATTATTATTATTATTAACATGGGGAATTTAAAATAACAATAAACTTTCACTTTAAACCGACTGTAAGTAAAAATAAATTCATCCAATTCAAAATAATTAATTCTGATTTAAAACAAACCATCGCAACGGCAGAGGATCCTTTAATCGTGTTTTTAACATCCGTTCACTGTGACCCAGGAGACGAGTTTGTAAAAGTTTAAATACAGAATGAAACTTTGTCAAGTTAAGAGAATATAAGATAAGATTAAAAACATAATGTTTGTGAACGCAGCTCAGATCAGAAACAAACAGTAATTCCTCTTCTGCTCAGTGTCTCCGTGCTGCTGCTAATATGTTGCTGCATGAATAAATGAATGAATATGAAATAACACCAGATAATCCAGATAATAAAACTGTTGTTCGGACCGGGGCTCAGTGTGGGGACGATCATTTGAGAAATTCTTTTGTCAAAGACAAAATAAAAATCTCCCGGGACAAAGAGAGGAAGATTTCCCACAGCGAGCGCCCGCCACGTCCCAATTGTCCCTAATTAACAAAGAGCTAATTACCACACAGAGATTTTAATGAGCTGTGGAGATGAGTTTCCAACCTCCTGCTATTTTAAACCACCTCTGTTTGCCCCACACACTCCTCTCCTCTTTGTCTCCTTCTCAATTCAATTCAAACTACTTTATTTATCCCAGAAGGAACATTCTAGTTTTGCAGTCGCCCAATCACAAAGAAACCAAACAAACACAATCAGCAGCAGCGTTCAGACGTCAGCGTCCACCTCCAGTGACGACAGGTCGAGTTTTAAATCCAGAGCTGAGAAAATACAGGTCGCCACGTCGGAGCTAAGAGAAGCGAGTATTCCTCCTTTTCTCTCACTTCACCTCTTTCAGGATATTCCCTCATCGTCTCTCTTTATTTTCCCTCCAGCTCTGCAACCTTCTGCTGCTTCTTTACTTTTCAGAGCAGCTCACACACAGATAACTATCTACAGTTCAGCTCCACTCTTCTATTTGCTGGACCTGATCCATCCATCCATCCATCCATCCATCCATCCATCCATCCATCCATCCATCCATCTATATGCCTGCAGCTCACCCAGTTCGGTCATGGACACACTGGGCGACGTGTCTCCATCGGTGAAGGAGCAGTACGGGAAGAAGCCGTTTCCAGATCCGTAGTCGCACAGTGGTTCTGGTTTAATGCCGTTAATATCCAGTCCTGATTGGTCGGGTGAGGGCAGGATGTCCAGGTAGAACAATCCTCCTCCTCCTCCTCCTCCAGAGTCCGTCTGTTGGTGGAAGAAACATCCGATATATAAAAACTGTAAAATCAATCAATTCATTTCAGGCCATGATTTGTTCTTTTTGGTAAAATGCCACAAACCTTGGATGAGACTGATCCTCCTTCAGGGGAGTTCTGCTCCATGTAGCCCCCAAGCTCATCAGGGAGCTCAGTGAGGCCGTTGGAGGAGAGGCCGTATTGGGGGGAGAGCGGCTCGGCCTCTCCGGGGCTCGGGCTGCTGAGGCTGGGGTGGGACATGAGGAGGGGTCCCTGCTGCTGCTGCTGCTGCTGCTGCTGCTGGAGCCGGTGTTTCTGAACCTCAGCGTACAAACTGTCCCGCTGCTTCTTCGACATGCGACCGAACTTCACCGCTGAAGACGAGGGACAGGACGTGAGGATCTCAGAGAGAGACGAGCTAACGGTTTCCCTCTGCTTTCAGTCTTTAT